AAGTATAAACATTCCATATTACGGCACTATTGATGTGCATATTTTGGACAGTTCAATACATATACAGGCAACTGGGATAATTCGGCCGTTTTTACAGCTATCATACAAACTAATTTCCAGTAATTGTGCATCTTCTAGGAAATATGCCTGCATACGTGTATAAACTATATAATTAATTCACGAAGAAGCTACATTTATGTAAAACAACCCTGTTCAACGAGCACTTCAAAGATCATCAGACACAGGGCCTTCAAAACATCTGCGAACCAGGGCGTGCAGAGTGGAAGCGCAGAGTCGGGGTCGCGAGCTAATTTGCCGACCACTCAAAGGCCCATGCTATAAATGCCACTTCAAATGCCTTGAAAGCGGGACGTAATATTGTCTTAAATTATGAACATGCAAGGAACAGAATTCCAGCGTCTGAAACACTTGCGCCACCGCTTCACCGATCCCTCGCGAGATTGCCTTATGTCGTGTGGACGGACTGAGAGGTTCATCGGCGGAATCGCCTCCGCCGATAGCTTTCAGGATTTGTAACCCAATTTTAAAGGTAAAAGGGACAAGCCGGCTTATAAAATGTACGGAAGCACGTCAATATCGGCCTAACTCAACGTCTTGTACACCGAGTAAACGAAGTCCAGCTCCTCGAAGAGCTTGCGGCACACCGCCAAACCAGGAAACTGGTGCTGGGAAGCAAGCCGATGCGAGATCGCGGAGCGGAGTCCTCCTCCTGACATCACAATACACCTCACCCAATCAGGGCGCGGCGACCGCAGCGACGCTTGTGTTCGCTCTCGGGGCTAATAGCTCCTTCTCCAGGAATCCAAAAGCCTCAAGATGGCATGGTCTTGAACAGGGAAGAAAGACTGTTCATGTTCTTTTCGTCGGATGTCAGCAGGGTGTATTGCGACTTGCTGTTGGTCATTCCAGAGTTTGAGAAGGCAAATGTGCTTCTGCAGTCTAAAGACCCCATAAATACATTTGCTCTGGGAAATCCTTCACAACCTGCTTCGGGACCTGATGTCGAGCCGTTGGTAATCAAAGGGACTGATGTGCTGACAGAAATTGATTACAAGTCTTCTGACAACCAAAGAGATGATGAAGACATGGTACTGGGAAGCCAGACAGCACGGAGCATACAAAACGTGAAGAAGGAAGCCAGGAAAGAGGTTTTTGCACGGATCAGAAGATTCTTTGTAACAACAAGCGATTACATCATCCTTAAATTTCCTCTGAAGTCCGAGATTTTGAAAAGTGCGGAGGTGGCCAGACTTTCCGCCATTGAACAAGCCAGGTTTGCTGATGTGAAGTACTTTATCGACCACTTCCCAGTTCTCTTGACAGTTGCAGATGGGTAAAGTAGGTAGTTTGTCCTGGATGAGCTTCAGGCTCAGTTCAGCCACCTACAAGTGGAAAATCTTACTGCTGAAATAACTATGCAGAAGCAAATTGATGAGCAATGGGGTGCAGTCTCTGACCTTCAAGACATTGTAGGAGTGGAGGCTCGGTGGATCACGCTCCACATATTTATTTACAATATTTACACTGTCCTTTTGACTAGCTCATCGAAGGGCCTGTCGCAGAATCCCAGAGTCCGTGCCGCTTGTAGTCCAGGCACCTCGTGTCCTCAGCTCGTGCCTGCCCAGTGAGCTTCGCACCGTTTAAGCGCTGGATCGCTGCCGTTACAGATACTCCCCCCTTGCGAGAAAGCGGGTTGGCAAGCGTTCCTGGTTTTGAGGGAGTCCGTGTGCAGGCTGGTGTTCATCTGGAACCTGACGCAAGGTGGCTTTGGAAGGCGCGTGGTTCCGGATGAGTAGAAATTGGGTGCTAAGTGAGCTGGCTTGACTCTGTCCAGAAAGACTACTACTTCTCGACCATTGACGTCGAATGTCATGTTCTTGTTGTCTCGACGCATTATTAGATAAGGGCCGTCATACAGGGGCTGCAAGGGCTTTTTCATGCCATCGCGCCGAACGAACACGTGCATACGTTTGTCGAGTTCACGGCTAATAAAACTGTGTCTTGTGGAGGGTGTTCTTGGGCAGGTCGGCTGAAGGTCTTTGATTAGTAGTCGCAGCCGTTCGACATACCTTTCTGCTGTTTCCTGTGAGATGTTGGATGAGGAAGAAAGAAATTCACCAGGCAAGCGAAGTGACGTGCCGTAAACGAGCTCAGCTGCACTGCAATTAATGTCCGATTCGAAGGCTGTTCTGATTCCCAACAAGACGAGTGAAAGAGCCTCTGTCCATGCTGGGCTGTTAGTTTGTGCTTTGATGGAGGCTTCTAACTGACGATGAGAGCTCTCTACCATGCCGTTGGAGATTGGATGGTAGGACATTGTATGGATGTGTTGAACTACATGGAAGTGGGAGAGGGTTGAAATAAAGTTGTTGCAAATTGACGTCCTTTTTCTGTAGCGATCGTCTGTGGGACACCAAAGCGACTAATCCAGATTTCAATCAGTGTGCGAGCTACGGTTGTTGTGGTGATATCTTTCATTGGCGCCGCTTCGGGCCACCGCCTGAAGTGATTAATGCAGGTCAGAAGATAACGGTTTTCTGGGGATGTACGAAGTGCTGCCACGATATCAACATGAATGTAGGCGAAGCGAGTGTCCAGTGTGCTGAAAGTTCCCAAAGTTGGTGTCTCGCCAAAGGTCGAGACACCAACTCCCAAATTATTTATGAAAAGCACTGAAATTGTTGCACAGCTCCTTTAATAATTTTTTTCCGGCCTTCAAAATTTCCCAAAGATTTTCATTCCTACCATGGGGAGGGGGGGGGGGGAAGGGGAGGGCACTGTTGTTGCTTTTGTGTTCCCCCTGAACTCACACATTGTCCTTCGTTTAGGCAAATGGATTGTTTTCACGCCAGCTTTGCGCACTATTAATTTGGCATGTTCCTAAATTTTGGGCTGCTGTCTTTTACCACACAAACTGTCAAACTGGGTTCTCAGGAACCCTAGGGGTTCTCCAGAGTACCTTCAGGGGTTCCTCAAGTTTCCATATTTCACTAGCTGTCCCTCCCTGTAAACAAACAGGTTTTCAGTTTAGGCACTATTTTAGGAGATCTGGGCTGTTCATCAACGAAGAGCTATGTGCCAAACACTGCCCCGGTTGTGCATTCCTGGGCACGTCGAGTCCACACTTTACTCCCGCTCCAATGTTCTGAGTTTGATGCTCCGAGTGCAGCAACTAAACGGAGCATAGCGTACAGGAGCGTGACATACCGAGACTAGTGACAAGTCGCACGCCACTTGCAGCTGTAAGGTTATGATACGAGCACGGGAGTGTTTTGGATACTAGATCATTACGAAAATAAATTAAGGCATCTTATACCCATACGCATTGGCAAAATGTAAAGTGAAAAATGCAGGTAAAGCTACGAAGGTTTCAATGTTTTAATGGCTTAATACTCCCAGAAGTTTGAGAGACTCACTTTAAATACAGAGGCAGTGCATTGCCGTGATCAGTCTATTTATCGCCAATCCCGTCTAGATTTATAAAAAAAAAAAAAAGGACAACGTTCTTGAACATTCTCAGCTCAGGAAACTATCAAACTTGTCAGACTTGTCTTGCAGCGTGAGAGCTAGGCCCATCGATTTGCCGTCGGCATACTACCGTTTGATAGATTGCACACTAATTCGCTTTCAAGGAAAATACAACAATAAATCTTTTCTGGGATGCTAATTGATGTTTCGCTTTTCCAATCAAATCGTGTTTACCTGATCGGCTAATTGGTATTCAAATGAAAAGGGGCAGTGGTCCGACTGCACCCCTCATCTCAAAAGCTTTCCTGTCTGCGCAGCCATCTTGTTTGGGGAAGTGATGTTGTGGAGCTTGAAGAAACAACTGGCGCTTCGAGAAAAACTCTGTACACGAAGAGTGTGCTCGAGTGTCAGTCTTCAACGGCACTTCCGTCTATTTATTGAATGGATCACCAAGCTTTCGTGTTTTGGAGCACGGACTTAACGTGCCTGTTGTTTACAAAGCAGTACGTAGGCTCTGCTTTAATGCTGCTATGCCAAGACCTTAAAGAGTTCCCCAGCCTTCAGTCCAACAGAAGCAGGTGTTTCCCTGGATCAAGTAGTTTGAGGACCGTTTCGAATATTCTTTTTATATCAGTAAAGTGCACCTTTAGAATTACAGTAAAGATGGTATTTTTGTTGGTTCTATAGTTTGCACATTTCGCGAAATGGGGATTTGTGGACGATTGCCGCGTGTGTGGCAAAATCCCGCCAGCCTAGGTTTTACTTTTCGTTCCTGTCCTGGAAAGTTCTAGCTCATTCTCGTAAATGATGGTGTGTCCTGGTTTCGAACGGCCCCGAGCCTGGAGTGGATGTGAAAGCAGCCGTAACATGCTGCCTCAATTCGGTCTGTCGCTAGTCTTCAATCTTGTTGTCACGCCGACAGTGACGCCCCTCAACACGAATTATTCAATTTTGTTTTGACAGATGTTCGCCTCATTAAACTTCTAGTTGTTTCGGTTTGTTCCTAGCTGGTCGCTTGTCATTTGCGACTGTAGTTTGTGTGCATGTTACTTCATGATTGAAAGTGGTGTGCTATGTTTTCGTAAACCATGGGGTGCTTAGAGTGATTAATTTTTCATTGTTTAATTTTTAAACTACAAAATTCACAAAAATTAAGCCTTTACAAATATTAAGTTTTTTTTACAATATATAGCATATAATAAAGCGGAAACTGCTTCTTTTTTTTTTGTAAAATGAGTTTTGTTTTATTAGGAGTACCCTGATATGATGGAAAGAACCCTTGTAGATTGCATCTGCTAATTGTATAGACATAAAAACTGCCATGTTAGTTATTTTTCATTCTCATCTGGCACACACTTCGCTGGTCAAAGATGAACGCTGCGGTCAACTGTGGACAAATCTTTCAAGATGCATGGCATACATACGGTGCTAAAAAGATGGGCACTGATTGGTATGGCGTTAGAACACCATCGGTACTGCTTTGACAGATGTCCTTGATGCATGTTTTGCAGGGGCGCCAAGAACTCTCAGGAGAATACAGGCGTTTCCAGCATCCAACCGGAGGCCAAGTGAAACTCTCGGCGTGTGCGGCCATCGTCTTTGGACCCACAAGTCTATTTTCATTTTGAACGATGGGGGCGGGGGAGAGCATGTTGTGTTTTCTTCGGGGGCCTCTTGGCCCAAACGAACGCGGTACCGCAAAGACCGAACGAAGGGACTCAACGATAGTCGGCGCCGGGAGAGCTTCAGAATGGAAGCCAAAGGTTCCTTTCAAACTCCAAAAAAGCACGGTCTCCTCAAGCAGGTCTCTATTCTGAGGTTCGCCCGAAACTCAAAACGCGCATTGTGACTCTTGAGAGCTCTTAGAGCCAATGTCTTAGCCAGTAGCACTGCACTGGAGCCAACGACAGGGCTAGCTGATGTGGCTTGCTGCTTTCTAGTCTAGGGCCGTGCCAGCAGAAGTTGGCCCCCCTCCCCCGCACCAATTACGCCATCAAGGAATCTCCCAGTCTCACTTGAGGAAATAAGACCTCTGGGTGGGATACTGCGCTGCTCTGGGCAGAAATGCTCATTTCCTATATACATAATACTATTCCCCCCTTTCCTCGTTTTAAAGCCTTTTCACATGTGCATGTCACCACTGAGATAACGAAAAGTCAGTGCTGCACCAGTACTCACCAGCTTTACCATCAGTGCTGACAGTAGCACTTCTAAGTACAGTTGAATCTCATTAATTCGAACTCGAGGTGGACCGAAAATTTGTTTGAATAAAGCAAAGCTTGACTACCCGGGAGTTTCCTCTCATAGAGACGCATAGGATGGGACCTGCATGTTAGTTTGAATTAACGAGATTCGACTGTATATGTGACCAGGCTTCAAGGCCACTCTGTCAAACACAGGGCAGCGACAGAATCCCGAGTGCCATCATTTTTTCTCCTCCTCGGTACGAACCGACGCAGACGGCGGTCGTGTCTTGTAACTTTCGTTTTCAGACAAGCATCTTCACTAGTGTCGTGTTCTGCACTGTTCTGTTTGTGTGCGCGAAGCATGATTTGCGGTACGAGCTTAACGCGTTCCCCCGGCTGCCCAGATTCCGCACGCGAGGCTTCGGCGCGTAGCCAGCTCCTGGGCTTTTGTGACGTGTCGGACGCGAGTTGTGTTTTGTGACGTAGTGTGTATAACGCCCGTATTTATTTGTTGCGAGAGAGAGGACCAGTGGCTATTGGTGCGACCAGAGGACCGTGACCTCCCCACGAGATAAAACGGCACTGCTTGTATCGACGTCGCCTGTTTCAATGAGCGGTTGAATAAATATACCACTAATTTAGAACGCTGGTCTTGTGTCGACTTGGTCATCACTGTCGCAGGTAAGAACCCAGATACACATAAAGCGAAAACTCCTTAAAACTTGGCACTTCTGGTGTGTGCTTGAATTAACTTAGCATAGACCAACTGTTGTTGCCTCGCAAGTCTGTTCTGCTCCGGGACATGTTTGGCTTGGGAGGTTGTAGCGTAACAAGGGGTGTCCGGTTATAATGAAATTGCCGAGTCACTAACTTGGGATATGTGTTTTGATGTCGTGCTATAAATTGGGGTTTAACTTGCCGCAACAACCTTCAATGAACAAAGTTCAAGGGCAAGAGAGTTCCCTGCTATCTTTTAAAGGACACATGCAAAAGAAAAAAAAAACATTTTTTAACATTTTTTTGAACAGCTTAGATGGAAAACAGGATGTCATAAAATGATTTTACAACGAAGAAAAAAAAAATTGTTAGAGCTATATTTTTCGGCGCTATACGAATTTGTAGTTGGCGCTCGCGGGAGCCGCCGCTGGTCACGTGGTAGGCCCGCGCGCCGCCGCGCTGCGTCGCCGCCGCTCGCTGAGCGTTGTGCGAACGCCGCTTCAACGCGTTTCTCCACGCCGCCGTCGCACAAGTTCGTCTGCTTGCGCTTTTTCAGGAGTTTCCTTTGGGCTCTAAAAGTTACTTATTCATCTTAGTTTATTGTTATACTTCAAACAAAGATGAAATAAGTTACTTTTAGAGACCATAAGAAGCTTCCGAAAGAGCGCAAGCACCACGTGACAAATATGGGCCCGTCACGTGATAAATAAAGGCCACTTTTCCGCGAAAATCCTTGCCACCCTTATTTCTCCCTATCTCACCGCTATCTTGACGGCGATGGGGGCAGTGACTCCTTTTGTTGCAGCATCTTGGGGCCAGATAAGCCAGGAACTTATCCTGGCTCATCCAGCCCCAAGATGCAGTAACAAAAGGTGTCCCCCTGCCGTCAAGAGTGGGAGAGCGGGAAATGGAAAGCATGGGGATGAGGATTTCACCATGGTTGAAAAATATTTTGCAGGTTTTCTCGGTTTTCTGGACGTGCAGTAAACCTCGGTTTTCTGCACGGAAGATAATCCTCTTAGCGCTTCCTTCTATTAAGCAGCAAAAGGAGCCAAGTTGGCGCAAGGTAAAAAGTGGAGAGGATATAGGAAAGGAGGAGGCGGGCAAAGGTGAAAAGTGCAAAATGTACGTTGGCCTTTAAAGGGATACTTCAACGAAATTTGAAATATTCCCGTCGTGTTCAAAAATAGGTTGAATATGATCCACAATATCCGTAATTGACAATCGCACGTTTGTATTTTGATCCTGGTGGCTGTATTTTTCGTTATAAACGGCCCACTCTGGCAAGCGCTCGGAGAAGGCCCAGCTTAGAGCACGTGACATCCAACGCAATCGTGACGTAGGTCGTCTCAAGACGAGCAAAGCTACGGCGAGGCTGACGTCGAGAGGATGGCCTAGTCGTTCCAGCCACCGAAGTGGCTGCTTTTGTACGAATTTTGAGTGACGGGTTAATCCTCTATAATCTTCTAGGGGGACAATAGCGACTTCTGCGACACACAAAAGGGATTCTCGGGAAGAGGGGAGTTCCTCCTTCCCCCTCTCTCGTCGTGGCCGGAGACGAGACAACCTCCGTCACTAGCTGTCAAGGTTCCTAGACGAGCATTACAAACGAGGCGTTAGCGACATCCACCAGGTGCTCTTTGGTAATCGTTTAATTCGTTTTAAAATTCCTTTTCGAGGCTTTTTTAACAAGACATTGGTATGTTCCATGTGATACTGCTCTTTTAAACACATATAGACCAAAAAATGAGCGCCGAAATTTCGTTGTAGTATCCCTTTAAAGAGACACTGACAGGGTATATTTATGCTCGCCAAAGTTTTTATTTGTACATGACATGAGAGCCCAACTACCCAGAAAAACAATTCGCCGCGCGAAATTTGTTTTCTTTCCTCCTGAAAACAGCTGATCGAGAACTGGCCTGCTCGAGTCGCGCTCAAGGCCCGTTCACACGTTGCATTTCTTCCTCCCCAGTCTAGTTTCCGTTTCCAGCAGTTGCGCTTTTTTACTGTATGAAAAATATATGTGACGCTGTAGCAAAATATTGACTGGGCAGTCTTCAGACACCGTAATAAATCGGGGGACGCTCCTCCCAACCTCCTTTCCAGCGTGCACTCTGCTGAAGTGGAAAGGTGTGGGAAGAGTTTCCCCTGGAACTCAACCTGACGGCGAGACGCTTTCAGGCAGCAAAGTGGATCGTTGGGCCAGTTGGTGAAAGCGCCGAGAAAATACAAGGGCCATGACATCTCAGTCCTTGTCTTTTTTTGGCACTTTTACATTTCAAAAGCTTTCAGGCAGCTGGCATGGGCGCTGTCATAACTAACCTTCAGTTTTTGCTTCCTCTTATTTCATTCGCTTCGCTTCATGCATTACCGCAGCTGGACAGGTTATTACCACTTAAAGTGCTACTCCGTCCTCGGCGGCATAGGCCTTTCTGGGGGCTCGTCAACGCCCACTTCAGTGGCTCAAATTTATCGGTAAGAAAATTCAAAGATCAGCAATGGCGGCTCAATTTGGCGCGTTTTTACAACGTCTATAATATCCGCCCGCATAATGATGAGAGTATTAAGGGTAAAAGGTGATAAATGTGTTTATTGGCACAGCTTCCACACAGCCAAGCGTCGGAGGCAGTCAAAAGGCAGAAGCCCGTGCGACCAAGTGCTGGCCGTTTCCTCGGCTGTATGTCAACAAGGGTTATACAAAACTTATTGAGCACTTAGGACACGCGACACACTCCTGCTGAAGTCGCAGAGTTCGTTCCTGGCCCCGGGCAGGCACGGATGCGTGCGCTCCGGTAAAGAAGGGTAATAGGCGCTCTCCGCGGAGGGGAAAAATGAAGCTTCATGGCGTCGGGTGCAGGCGCAGAGAGGGATAGAGGACAGCCTGTCCGGCTAGATATCCGGGGGACCAACCGGCCAGCGAGGGGCCAGCCGGCCAGCGAGGGGCCAGCGGCAACAGCAACGAGTCGGACACGCGCAATTTTTTTTACACCGGCAATTATCATTAGTTTATTTTAGGGCGTACATTTATCGCCATGTGTCCGTCGCTGTGTGTCAATGTCAATCACCGTGCAAGCGTGGCCGTGTGTTCATCGCCGGTACCACGGCGCATGCGCCGGCGAGCACAAATCTGAAAAACAAAATGCTTGTGCCAGCTGCGAAGTTGTGGGGGTAGAACCCAGGTTCCTGTGCTTCTAAAGTATTAATCCACTCGGCCACGAATCTTTATATCCTCTTTAATACATAGAAATAAAGCCTGCGGCTGCAGAATATCAGGTCAAACGCTCATTAACAAGACAACTAAGGATCATGGCCCGGGGGAGGGGGGGAGGGGGAGGCACTGCCCCCTCCCGGATCTCACCAGGGAGGCACGAGCCCCGATGCCCCCCCCCCCCCCCCCCCCCCCCCGTAGTCTACGCTTATGGTGGGGAGAACCCCGCGAGTATGTCTTGCACTCAACTCTCAGCTAGAAAGCAATACAACTTAATACGAGCGACCCCACCAACATATTGGGCTATCGGTTCAGGTCTTGCCTTACAGCGCTGCTCGTAGAAGCTGTTCTTGAAACTGATTTCGAATGTTTCCAATAGTAAAGGCATGGCCAACATGTTAGCAAAGAATACAATAGAAATAGATTTTATTGTAAATGAAGATTATTGCGTAAAAAATTGTTAACATCACAAAAATAAAACTTGCATATGTAATGTTTATAAAAGACTAGAACCTTATAGTTATCACAGAACGCCCAAGCTTTGGACATCTTGTGCAATTGCACCCTCAATGTGCAGTGTTACTACTTCTCTAGCTGCTGCTTCGCCAGGCGTCCCTTTGCATGGGCGAGCCACGACTTCAGGGCCTTCTCAACTTTGTAGTCCGTTGCCGCAAGCTTCCTATTGGCACGTAGATACCCTGGAACAAATAAAAAAAAATGGAAGTAATAAATATGTTTTTCAAAGTTCAAGGGGGGGTATGAACCTAAAGTCAGCCATGGTCTGGGAAAACGAAAAGGCAATCAGGTCCAAGGTGTTTTTTTAGAACGTAAAGCAACTTCAGATTAGTCAGCGGATTCCTAATAATAATTTATAGCTAGCCATTTACAGTCGTTATTTGAGACATACGTCTACTGTATCAGTGGCATAATGCAGAGGCAGTCTAGGGTCCACCACACAAAACGGTGTGCCAAAATCTCTGCGCTTGAAAAGACGCCAAACCGTGACGTACTTGCTGCAACAGTATGGCGCAGAAATACGAAGCTACGGCCAGATCAGATGGATAAGGTTTACATCATCGTTAGGTGTCCTGAAGGAAACCCACACTTTGAGCAACACAGTTAGTGGTTTTGCCGCATCGCGTGCTCCGAGGTGAGAGGGCCCACACGAGGTAAAGACGCGAACGTCGTGTCTTACTTCTAGGCAGGGATGGGCAGTATTTCAAATACAAGTATTTGAAATACGTATTTCAAATACTTTGTGTATTTTGCATTTGTATTTAATTACAAATTCTCACCCAACCCGGCAGATATCTGTCGAATATGTTTACTTTCAAATTGGGTAATGTATTTGACGTGGGTATTTAAATACTAAAACGTGGGTATTTCAAATACAATTGTAATTAAATACAATTTTCTGGGCGAAAATACATCCCTCAAATTTATTGTCACGACTCATTTTGCTCATCCGAAGACGTGTCCAGAGCAGGAAGAAAACTACGTTCTACACCGAATGCACTGTCTCTCAATCAAGCACAAGCGTTTAGTGACTTTGTGATTACGGTGCTAGTCCAAAGCAAGAATAGTGACGAAATCGACGTTCACATTCAGACTGGCTAAATAAGTGCCTGTGACAGCTTGTGATGCTTTCCAGCTTGATTTCCATCCATGTTTTTGCCTGGAACATTCTAAATGCGCGGGTTGTCCAGATTTTCGTAACTG